ATTAGAAGTCTGAATAACTCTCTGCCCCATGCGTGAGCTCCTAAGCTATGCAAAGATAGGCTGTTTATTAGGTCGGCAACGACTCCTATGGCTTAATTCGTCTGCCCAATGCGAAGTGAAGTTTATTGGGCTAACTTCTCTGCTAGTGAATTCATGTGTCTGCCACGATTCAGGAGTGGCGACAGTATCAGGGCTGTTTGAGCAAACCGGATCATTTTTTCGACAAAATGCAGGTATAACAGTGGAAAACCCCTTTAGTCTGAAGCCTCCACTTTCCTCTCACAGAGGGTTTGTGGTCACCAGATTTCCACTTTTCACGAACTAAAAACATTATTCGAGTGTTGATTTGCAGGAATTTGAATTGTTTCAGGATTTCAAAATGATCTGACATAGGCAAGAGGACCATTGGAGAACTTGAGAGTACTGAACACCTTTTTCGCCTTAGTTTGGGACTGTTCACCAGTGCGCACCCACTGAGGTTCGGACCCAAGACCTTCTGGTTACAAGGCGAGCTCGTAGACCACTGAGCCACTGGGACTCAATCCAATAGTCCATTAATTACAACTTCGCCATTTCATGATATGGCCATATAACCGATGTCAGCTCATGATGAAATCCAAAAATCCATTAACGAAATTATTTCATTCTATTCTGCAGCGCTCTTCCATTTCCAATAAATCAGGGTATTTACCTGTATTATTTTTTAGAGAGATGTAATTGTTGCTTGTAGATGAATTTCCCTGAGTTTTTGAGTTTACTGAGACTTTGAGAAGATGCAATGCCTGGCTTGCTGCGGAGCCCTTCTGTAGATTCTGTTAAAATTGTGGATAATTATGCACGTAGATGTCGTGGGAAGTAGTTCATCTAAAATAATTTTGGCCCGACAGAAGCCGCACTGCAAGCTGTCCTTGAGGGCTGAATTCTTTGTCCTTTTTTGTAGGAAATGATTGATTTTTCAGAGTTATCGGGAATGCTGAAGTTGCTTTCTTCACTTCGGGGCGACGGTTTTTACACATCACCTCCTGCAAAAGACCTCATCTCACCATTCATTGGTGCTCTCTTCACTACCTAGCTGCAGCGATGACAGCCCCTTATCTACCTAAGTTATAGAGCAGCTTGAACAAATTATTTAGTGACTTCTGTAGGCCCTTTCTACAGATTCCGTTTCAGGTAAATCGGACATGTAAGAGCTTGGATCTTTTAGTAATACCACACCAAATTTGTAGAGCTAGAAGCATCGTTAGTATCGGAGAAGTTGATTTTATTTCCCTGAGACGAGATACTTTGACCGTCAGTTAGGCTCACTGCTGTGATATGCATTGCAATAGTCTCCTAGCTACCACAGTAATTAATTAGCAAATATGTAACAGCTGAAATCGAAAAAGTGTACTGCAGGAATGAGTTCGGCGTATCATAAAACTACTGATAACGATTATTATATTGATTACCATCGCTGTCTGGGAAATGACACACTGGCCTTACACGGTGAGTTTATATAACAGTGAGTTTTTCAAGTGAAGAAAACAGCTTTTCTGTATAAAAAGTGGCAGTTGTGATGTGAGACTGAGCTGCTATATCACAAGGCAAAAACAAAAACTGCAATTAAAATTGACAAAACAGGGAACTGGGAATTTTGAAAACACACTTTGTATCAAAAAGTAGCAGTATAACATTAACTATAAAACGAAGAAATCAAGTTTTTTGAATTCAACACATTAAAAGTTGGATTTAGGCAGGAACTTGCGAAAATTCACTCGCTTTTCAAAGCTCGCGGTTATATGTTTTAAATGTTTATTTCAAGGATTCATCTCTCCCGATAACTTCTGAAATATTGTTAAAACTGTCATAGATACAGTGACGCAAAATATTGTTAAAATCATTCCAATTTTCATAAGATTTTCAACAGATGGTGCTGTTTGTTTGAAATCGTTGCACGAGGTCTTGTTGTGTTTTCGAAGTATCATAAGTACGGTTGGAATATGGTTAGGATTACGGCTGAAATTGTTGAGAATGCACCACAGTTTACCAATGCAATAAAAGATCGCGAACTTGACCTTCGAAGCTACAAATTCCCAGCCATCGAGAACTTGGGATGTACATTAGACCAATTTGATACTATCGATCTTTCAGAAAATGAAATCAGAAAACTTGATGGCTTTCCGCTGTTGAAGCGCTTGAAGTCCATAATACTTACAAATAACAAGGTAATAAGTTCTTCAAGTCTTTTATTTGAGATTTTGATTTGACTGGCTGTTCGGAATGTAGTTATATGTTAATTTTGCTTAATTGTAACATTTTCTTGTCCTGTGATTTTTCAGTTTGCTTTTTATGGGGGATTTTTAATCCTAGTAACTTGGAATACAATTCTATGGCTTGCTTAAGTCAGATAGTAACGTTTAGTTGTTTTCGGTCCACTTTCCCGATTGAATAACTGCAGTATATTTGATTCACTCTATTTTCCTTCGTGGAATATATAGGGGAGGTATTTCTCGAGTCCCCATAGATTCCATTGTCATAGTTTATATTCAGTCAATATCGGTGCTATTGGTATTCGTTTCAGTTTTTCTGCCACTATCCTCTATATACTCACCTTATATATCGGTAAAGTGGTGTGGTTTATTTATTGTCGTGATCAGGTTCAGAAAACAAGCCTTGGTCACTATGCCATCACAATGCAATAATAGTTTTTTGGTGAGAATAAACTAAATGATCTTCTAAGCTTTGTAGCCATTTACTGATGTAACTGCACCGGTCGAATTGGTTCATCTTATCATACATCCTAACGGGTTGATCTCTGACGAAATCTCAGCACGAATACAGAGGGCTAGTTTCGCATATGCCAGTTTACGCCGTCTCTGGAGTAGACGTGATATCCGACTATCGACCAAAGGGCGTGTGTACTGCTCATCAGTCCGCTTTGTCCTCCTTTATGGCTGTGAGACCTGGCCATTGAGAGCGGAAGACATGAAAAGATTAGCTGTCTTCGATCATAGGTGCCTGCGTTCTATCTCCCGCGTGAAGTGGTATAACAAGGTGAGCAATATTAAGGTTAGGCATCGAGTGCTAGGTAAGGAGGGGAAATCAGTCGACGAGACTGTGAAATTACTGAGATGGTTAGGACATGTGTTACGTATGCCTAGTCATCGCCTTCCTCGACAATGGGCAATGTTAGCTGATATAGGGCCAGGCTGGAAAAGAGCTAGCGGTGGTCAAACCAAACCATGGCACCAGTCAGTGAAATCTACAACAGTTAGTCTAAGCTACGTAGGAAGGTGTAGACTTCCTGGTTGGGGTCCTCGGGACGGTAAAAACCAATGGTTGGAAACAATTGGTGACATGGCTCAAAATCGTTCTCAATGGCGCAGATGCATCAACTCCTTGTGACTTATGATATCCAATGAAACTATATTGTTCTTTGTTATTACTATACCTTTGTCTCACACCTCTGTTTACTGTCTATATTATTATGCATTTCTCCTACTTTCTTCTCTTCCTTTGTGTGCTACATGGAGTGTGTCGACTTGAACTGCCGCACACATGTGCAAAGTTCTATGTCAAAAACAGACGGACATCATACAGCCTTCCCCTACTTTGAGACTACCCGTTTTCATTTTATTAAATTCTGATTTCCCAACATCTGTAAACTTGTCTGGCGTTTATGGGTGCCTCTACTTCACAATTACCAGGGCACCAATTAGTGACGCATGTAGTAGGTGTTAAATGGCTGGTTGGGTCATTCCAATCTGTTTTTATAGTTTGTATGAGATGAGTCTTGATTTCCTGTGGGTGCTTTACAGCGTTCTATTGATGAAGTACACAGTGGCAGATGATTGCAAATGGCTGATCTAGTTAGTAAAAGTCGCTTTTCCCATTTCTGAGACAAACATTTAACAAGGTGATTATGGGCTAAAGACTTAGTTGGTAGCTCGTATTATTACGTATGTAGGAATAATAACGGGTTTTTATTCCCGATTTTGCTAATCATTGCTCATATGCCGTCGAGTTGCTTGCCCCTTCGCTCACATATTTAATGAAACCTTCGAAATTTCAAATATCTTTAATAAGAACATTTTTTATAATGCAGTTCGGTGTTCAGCTAGACAATCATTTAGTAGGAGTGTATCAGATGCTAATGTAGCACGTATGCCGTGACTAATGCCACATTTTCCAACTTATACGAACTGTGGAGTGGTTTTTCAGATGGTAAGCCTTATTTATATAGGTATTCATTTTGAAGTGATCCAAAGTAAAAATGAATATGATCAATATTAAGGGATACATATCTGAGTCAGTAAACTCTAAATAGGTCAAGTCCATGTATATAAAGTTTATAAAACAATGCTATATATGGTTCTTTAATTGACTGATCAACCTTTCCAACCCATCTGCAGTAATTCAGTAAAGAGAAAGAAAAGTTTTCAAAGCATGTTAACCATGTTGTGTTAGTAGTGAATTCGTCGTTAACTTCAATTGACCAAGTTTCCACATAGAACTGTCACCAAAGTGCACTAGTTCAAGTCGCCACACCATGTAACAAAGGTAGGGAAAAGAGAGAAGAGACTTAGAAGAACCACAACAAGCAGAAATGTTCAGGAGAAAAAACTAACATAGGGGTTTAATGTATATGGAGATCACAATGAGCGAATGCATCTGTGCCATTGAGAACGACTTTGGGCCATGTCACCAAGCCTTAACTCCCTGGTTATACCTTGTCTTTTTTTTCGAATAGGAGTGTATGACTTAATTATATTATTCCTGACATTTTGGTTCTATTTTCCTAATTATCTAATGTTCCGGTGAAAGCAGTGACGTCGACCCTTGATCTGCAATACTAGGTCCTATCTTGATTCTGTTCGTTATCACATGCTTTTATGTATTTTGAAATTAACAAAACATGAAGTATTTGGAGCAATAATATTATCTGTTATGAATATGAGATGGCGTACCACCGATGTACAACAGAATTCTCATCCCATAGCTTCTTTTCTTTAATATGATAAATATCTTCATAGCTGTTTGGAGGCTCATGCAGGATGTATTGCATTTCTCAATACTTTTGGTTCCTCAGTTATCTTTTATCTTAACTGAGTCACTTATCTGTATTTAGGTCGGAGCCTGTTTTCAGTTAGGCGTTATCACCATAGTACTCAGCGTCCAAGCTGTCACACCTCATCTGCAAGTCAGGTTGAAAATTATAAAGATGGAACACAAATCTATGCATATGAAACCAATGGTTGTAGAATGCTGCAACACTAGACATGAAAAGATTAACTAACTGAAGAAAGATAAAATCACGACCATGTGGCAGTGGTTTCATCGAACTTGAGTGATTCTATGAAGATAATCGTGCTGGAATAATCGGAGGTGTATTGTTTTCTACCTCACTTGACCATGCTTATCCACCGTAGAGAGTAACAGCTCCCAATTGCTCGTTACACTTGAATGTTGCATGCACTTGGAATATGTGATTTGCAAGGTAAGTGATGCAGTTATACGAACTCAAATCAACTTTTCATAATCACCTCAGGTTTTTTGTTAACCATCAATGCTCTGTAACTGATTCTGTCTCCCAAGTAAAGTGTTCGGTGCACTCCTGAAGTAACAATCTGTATTTTGGTGGAAAATACATCACAAACATTCGGATCTTCAGTGCCTTAGCTTAAGAGGATCACATCGTTTGTGCGCTCCAAAACGGCTTCAAATTGATTTTGTTGAAGAAAATATAAGACAGGAACCTTTTATTGTATGGAAGTGTTCCTCCGCAATGAAATATTTTCAGCCAGAATTTCTGGTTCCGAAACTGTCAAGTAATTTTGGCATTAGAAAAACAAGGTGGTTATTACACAGACTCGTATTTATAAAGTGAAAGCAAGGAACTTATAGTATATATATTTTTTACGAAGCCTATTCTAAATGAAATCAGAATCTTTATTTTGTGACATTGTAGATTGCTCGCATCGCTGAGGACTTTGGTCAGCAGTTACCCAACCTTGTGACTCTTATTCTGACTGGTAATTACCTTTCGGATCTCAAGGATTTGGATCCTTTATCAACATGTGAGAAGTTAGATTTCCTGAGCCTACTTCATTGTCCTGTAACAATGCGTGCTAATTACCGACTTTATGTAATCAGTCGTGTCTCTTCTGTGAGTTAAATTATTATAGCTTTTTTGGAGATTGGTTTCTTTTAAATTTGTGAAACGTATTATTTATTTTATTACTTTATGTTCCTAGTGGAACATAGGGCTTCAAGCTGGAGCTTTGCAGTTTCGGTAGCAGTGGTGTCATTTTTACGGGGTGAGGTTGCTAACCTTACGCCCAGCCTTCTCTCTTTACCGGGCTGAGTGCCAGCTTAGCGAGGTTTAGGAGTGCGTTGGCCGAGGATCGAACTCCGGACCACTTGCATGGTTGGCGAGCGCTTTACCCCTGAACCACTGCGAAACGTAGGAATATTCTAATCGCTAAATAACTGTATATTCCCGCCCACTGTAGTTTGTTAGTGGCTCTGTAAGCTTCGATATTTAATTGGCACAATTCTCTTATGAGCTCATATATTCAGCTAAATGTGAATTTAGCTACGTATGTTTTTAAAAGACCTAATCACTTGGTTGTAGCTAGTGTAATAAGATTTAATTTCTTACGGGTATTCGTATTTACGTTTTCAATCTGTGTTTTAGTATGTCCTTATTTCCTTGTAGGTAACAAATGTTACTCTTGGCTTCTCAGTATGATAAACAGATGATTGGCTAACAGACTAACGTTGTGTATTAGTTATTTCGAGCTGCATACTTTTAAACAGGCAGGAAAATGAGGGTAGATATGAAGCAAGTATACCTGGAGTTGTTGAAAGTGTTCTAGATTTGGTAGACGGTAAAATGAATACTACTGCATTATTAAGGACAGTTTCAAGCCATGTTCCCATGTTAGTTGAAAGTCAGCAGCATAGTACAGATATTTTATGTACCAGGCTACCAGCTACACACATGACGCTAGAGTTGGTGATACTACCCAGTTATCCATGCTTAAGTAGGTGGAGCGGGACACATATCCAAGATCAACTGACTGAAGGTTGGGTACTTAACCTAAATAAGCCACATCTTAACTGTTCCTATGATTTCGTGATCATTGGTTCTCAGCACTTCGAGAACTGCAGTTCAAACCAATAATCTCGGACCTAGTCTGCTGGTATCGTGTGAGAATCCACCTCTCCTTAATTTTCGAAACCCAATGGTCTTTCCGTAACAGGTTGCAGGCTATTGTGCGTAAAATTTCTCTACGTACTTCATTTAGTGGAGGCTGCCAATCCCATTGACTGATATATTTTTCCTACTTATTAACAGTAGAGCTAGTGAGATTTAGGTCAAGTTCGCTGATGTGATGCCATATTCACGTATACTATAATTTCATTCGTGTTTATTTCCGTAGTGTGCTGTTTAGACGGTAGTTTATTAGCTTAGACATTATAGTTCCAATCACACGATTGTGTGTTCTCTCGCTGTTCTTTAACAACAGTGTGTTATCAATAAGTCTAGCCTTACAATTTGTGTTATTTATGCTACGAAATTGAAAATGATACTAACCATCCTTCGCTTCGTGCTTCATGCTAAATCGTCTAAATGCTTGTGCACGATTTCTTCGCTTGGCAATATACAGACTTATACGAAATTGTCATCCAAAAACCTATACAGCTGTAAATTTATAAGTTTGTGTTCCAACGTCCAAGTAACGTTTGGATACTGTCGTAGAGCTGATTGCCGTATTAAACAAATTTATTGCTCTTAGTCATATAAAGGTGTTCAGGTAAGTCTATTTCTATAAGGATAAAACTTGGACACTGTGGTAGAGTATAACTCCATTATGGATAAAGTTTTATTTTGATAAAATCGCAGTGTTATACAGTAATGTTTACTGATGACATTTCGAGCACAAATTATTGCTCATAATCATGTCAAGGTACTCACACAACTTTCTTGCTTCATTTGTATACATGAGTAAAACTGATTAGACATTTGAATAAAATCAATATAAGATAAAGGACATTCAGAAATAATAATATTAGTGTTATCAATCAAATGCAGTCAGATGGGAAATAAGATGTTTTTTTTACAGTAAAAATAAGTAAGTCGTTAGAATGTTAAGATGTGAATTGAATACACTTTAACATTATTATCCTCTGATTCGACTGGTAATAATATCTTCCACATCTCTAGCATTTGCGTTGAGTCACTTCTGTTGCATGTGTTGGGTGTATACTGGATGAACCAGGATTCAGTAATCAATCTCTCTCTCCGCCAACCTATATTAATTTTTAGAATTTTGACTCTGTCCCACCCGCCCTATTGTGTGGTTGTGTGTTATGCCATGCTATTGTTGAGTTTTTTCTAAATTACTTATCTTCGTGAGATCAATCATTTGAACTTCAGCTAAATTCGTGTGTTCTGATAATCTGACTACTCCTGATCTATGTAGTTGACTTGACTCACATTCATTGCAAGGTATTTTGTAAATATTACTGTATAGCGCTGTGTGATTTTATCAAAATGAAATTTTATCCATAATGAAGTCTATTTCTAGTTTCTAACACAGGATTCGGTTCACTCTCCATTTCTTTTAAAGTGGCAGTGTTAAATTTTTCGATAACCTTAAATATCCTTCATAAGTATAGGCTAAGACTCTTGTGTTTCCAAATTTCTGCATATGTAGCTTCGTTTTCTGGATTACCGTCGTGTTACACAGGCTGAGCGTAAATTAGCCCGATCAATGTTTAAACGCCTTCCAGTTCTGTCAAACAGTATCAGTAATTTAAAGGTACCATACCAAAAAGCTAATGTTCCGCGTACAGAAAACTCAAATGCTACCACTGGTACTGTTAAAACATTCATCCCTGGTGCTCCGATCAATTCAAACGATCTTGTACCCCCTGGGACTGAACCAGTTCGAATTGATGATGAACAACATCGTGTTAGTGAAAGCAAAGAAAACAATGCACCTAGTTCGACTACATCAGGAGAAAATAATCACAGTGAATCAGGCAAATCTGATTCAACTGTAACCAGTTCAAGCGACACTCCCATGCCCCCACCATCCAATCCAGTTACAACAGGCAATAAACGTTCAGGTGAGTTGTAAAGTTGCTTTTGTTTGATACTATTTTATACAACTGTTACCACATATTCACAGCTATTTTGTATGGATACATATCTATCCGTCCACTAGCTGTTATCAGAATTTTCCACCGAGAACTATTATTCCTTGAATTGGGAGTTGGGCATTAATCCAACTTGATCAATTTAGACACTATAGGATAAGTTTATTTGATGTAACAACAGTAATACAACACTATTAATAACGGCTGTTGTCCATGAAGATCTCGCTCTGACAGAATGGTCGGCTAAGTATCGATAAAACAAAAAGCGATTACAGTCTTAGTGAGAGTTACTCAAAAATTCAGACAAAAGTCATGTTTCGGGAGGTGTAGCAGCATGTTTCTCTCGAATGACCAACGGGCCAACTACGTTGTCCTCTCATTCTTACGGGCAACCATTTGGTTAAAAGGGTTGTAATAAGCGTAAACTGACAACATTCCGTGGCTTGTTATCTGGTTTTCCTAATGGACGTAGCATCAGAAAGCCTAGCATCCCTTATTATCTATCTCTGTCCTCTAGTATCTTGCAACTTATGTTAGTATTACTTTCATGTATTATTCGCCCTCTTGTTATACCTTTGCATTGATGCGTTGATTTGAGGTGTATGTAGGTATGGCTAATTGGTTTTGGTGCTTAAATTACAACCGCTAAATTCAAACCTCACTGCCAGCTGCAGTTGATTGTTGAAAATCACTTCATTTTTCCATTTAATGTAGTATGGAGAGTTCGACTCAGTATTTTAGTATCGTATATTACATGTCTATCTTTTCAAGTATGTCTAAACAACGAAAGCTGTGATTAACTGGCCTCTTTCGGGTTTAGAAGATGGGTTTTACAGTTGAAACCCAGTCATGGTGACATGCGTTTATTGATTAGTCACTCAGACTAGGAATTTGTTTAATCGCTTTAAATTACTTCCTGTATCACAAACTGTCTTTATTCTACTCTCTCTCTCTCTGTCATGCTCAATGTAATTTCTTCTCTATGCTCTTTGAGAGTTTCGCAACTTTTATCCCTGCGTTTTTTATACGACGTTACGTTAATCACTCATTCATGGAATTTAATGGGAAACGTGTTGTATACTATCAGTTACCAAGATATGCCTCCACTTGAGATATTTTATCCGAGATGAAAACAGGTCCATACATACTTTATATTGGCTAAGTCATATGACGGTATTCTGTAAGGATCTCGAGCTGCTTGTATATGTCTTGGCGATTGAAATGCACAAGCTCTAACAGATCTCTGGTTGATGACCGTAGATAATTTATTGGAGAGTTGATACAATTGACGTACATCTTTACTTATTACCTATACTGTAAATATCTGTTGATATATTTCATTGTCCTCTAATAATAATTTGTTCTACATTTATCTGTTTGACGAGTTGTTCTTGTGGAATTACTATTAAATCACTACTGTACATCATCTTAATTTGAAGTCACTCTTTTGTGAAAGTTATTCATATAAAGGTACACTGCAGGGTAAAGATTTTTTTCACGCAATATGTAAGTATCAAAAATTCTTAGAAGTTGTCCTTGTAAAAAACGTACAGCTCCATTCTTAAACCAGTAAACCAAGCTACTTGAGGCTTTATAGCTAACAAAACCTCAGTTTTTGTGAGAGACTTCAGTCTTTTATCCTGCTGGTTGAAAATTGTATCTTTTGATTAATGTCTCATAGATCAACCGAAACTATACTAATTTCCATTATTATATGGAATTCATATCCTACTAGTAATTGATGTGCTATGATGAATCAATGATTGTGAACGACATATTTCCAGGTTGTTTTCCAACCTCATATTTTCAGCTCAGCTACTGAGAACAGATTTCTCGTGTGCCAAGCTAATAGTCACACTTATATTGTGAGGGTTGATGATACTACCCAGTCGTCGAAGCTGAAGTAGGTGAAGCGGGACTGGAACTCGCGATCCACCTACTGAAAACACCTAGTACTTAGGCCAATGTTGAAGACATGAAAAGGTTGACTGTTTTTGATCATAGATATCTACGATCTCTTTCTCACTTTAGGTGGTATAATAAGGTAAGTAATGTTGACGTCAGGCGTAGAGTGTTGGGCAAAGAGGGAAAATCAATCGACGAGGCTATAACGTTACATAGATTGAGATGGCTAGGTCACGTGCTGCGCATGCCTAACCATCGCCTCCCCCGACGGGCATTACTAGCTGATATAGGTGCAGGTTGGAAAAGAGTAAGTGGTGGCCAAACAAAAACATGGCATCAATCCATGAAATCCCTGACAGTTAAACTGAGTCAGGTAGGGAGATGCAGACTTCCGGGTTGGGGCCCTCGGGACTCTAAGAATCAATGGCTGGAGACAATAGGTGACATGGCTCAAAATCGTTGTCAATGGCTTACGCAGATGTATTCAGTCTCTGTAATCTTTCATATTCCTTTCTACCATTACTCATTCTGCTTCACTCTTATACTTGTCAAAACTCTATTGATTCTCTTCACTCATTTTCTTGTCTACCTTTGTGTGCTATTTGGAACGTGGCAACTCGAACTGCTGCACTTCGGTGCCAAGTTCTATGTTGAATCCAGACAGACAGACAGACTTAGGCCAATGAGCCACATCTTCACATTTCCGAACCTTATAATGTTTGAGGTTTTCCAAATCAACAACCGCACATTCTATTTCGGTATATATTGTCCCATAGGTCGTATATGGTCGTATCTTCATTTATCAGTAAATGTGAGAGTTAAGGTGAAAACACACTTGTACTTTTAAATATCTTTTTTTTTTTCTGGTATTGATTTTTATATAATATAGTGTTATCATTGTATATTTCTTATTGTGTATTTCTCAGTTGCATCCAATCAAGACTTATTTGCTATACAAGAAGCAATCAAGCGTGCACGTACTATGGATGAAGTTGAACGTCTTCATCAATTGCTCAGTAGTGGTCAGTTTGCAGGATTTGCAGTTCAATGGCAAAAACAATTAAGGCAGCAGCAACAACAAAAAGCCTCACAATAACGTGTGTATAAATATGATGATGATGATGATGATGTGAAGCTTTACTTGACTTACTGGTCATTTCTCTCAGTGTTTGTACATTACCACCATTTTCTCTTCTTAAACTAATGTGTAACTCTAACTATATGATGCCGTTATTCTTATTTTCTGAAATAGTTACTTAACTTTATTTTTACAACAACAACAACAATAAATGCATAGTCCTTTGAAGCGTTAGTATATTGTGATTTTCTAGAGACTAATATTCGAAGTGGGTTGTAGATTCTTCTCAGTATCAGTGTTGGTTTCTTGTTTCGTCATCCAGGCATTTATATATATGTGCTGCCTACTTTAACTTGCCATGGAAATAGTGAACATATTCCTCTCCAAATTGATTCATATTATCTTGATATGTTTCGTTGAGGGGGGGGGGGGGGTGAAAAGAAATCATGTGTTGTCATTTTGACTAGTTAGGGAATAAGCATTATATACATGCAAGAAGGTCTTTGTAATGAATAGTTTGAGGTTTATGCAGCTGCGAAAAATTGAAAACTGATATTCTCATTGTTCTAAGGGACTGTAAGAAAACCACTGGCGTATGATAATGCAGTCCTTAGTGAGGTAGCATTTTTTTCAAGTTACTATTTATATACGCATGTTTCATAGTGAAGTGCTACTGATTCACCATTTGTCAGATAAGTGATGGTGAAAGTTGAGGTGCAACTATTCGTTGTCTTTCAACTGAACAGCTAACACCTGTCCACGATGATGAGTCCTATCATGCACTACGACTCACAAGTACATCGTAAGTAGTTGTCCTTGCAACCACTCATTCCCTCATCTTGCAATCTAGTGTCCGCAAAAATTTACGTAATGAAAGCTTGTAGGATAGCTTAGTATTGCTCTAAGTTAATTTGTATTCCTCGGCAGTCGGTTATATCAGCCTCGTAGTATGGACCCAACGACGATGTCTGAAGACTAACATGACATTATTTATCTGACACGATGATTGCTGGTGGAATCTAGGATGTGCATCTCGTCCCATTTATAGCTCGTCAGCTGAATATCATCAACCAAATAACATATCGATCTTCATGCATCGTCCATACTAGGAGCCAGCATGTCAACAGGGACCTAGCGTTTCCGTTCCCATATTATCAATCAACGGGAAATATAACTTCACTTCAACAAATAACAACTAATATTCGTTGTGCAGAAGGTGCCTCTTTCAGCCTAGTAGATAGTGCTTTGGCTTTTGGAACAAAGGGTTTGAGGTTCTAGTCTCAGTGAGAATACATCGCTCACTGAAGATGCGAGTATATGCAGATGATGAGTCCTGAACAGGACGAGATATGCGTTCTGAATTCCATTACTAGTCACCAATAACCTGAATGTCTGGTATTTTTTATCGTATTGAACAGTATATTGGCTGATATATGGTAGCCGTTGGAAAAGTTTAAACAAATCAAAGTCTATAGACTATTCAGTCGTTCTCCTTTCCACCCAGATACTCAGTTTCGTTACCGTCATCTGTCAGAAGGCATATAATACCATCATTTCGCTAGAACGTGGAGTTGTGTGGAAGTTATTTTTGTGTAAAACTTTCCTGCCATGAATGACAACGTTTCTGAATGGTCGATGACTTGGAATTTAGCTTGAAACCTGTTGTATGTGAAGTTTCTCTTAAGGCACTGGCATAGTAGTGGTGGTATTACTCTTTATTTCTGTTTAATTTTATCCAACCTTCCAATGTAACATTCTTTTATACTAATTATCCGTTGTAAAAGAACACAAAGTTTCACCTTTAGGCACAAATCCGACCTAAACAAACTGGTTAGCTCTCACGAGGTATGCAACATAGACGGCACTGAAATAGAAACCAAATCGGAAATTAAATACCTAGGCGTCATTCTATCTGCTGATCTCTCCTGGTCGTCTCATATCTTAGCGATTTCTAAGAAAATATTCCGTCTTACCTTCTACATCAAGAAGTTAAAACATTCTGGTATAACCCAACCCTCACTCCTACAATTCGTTAATTCTCGCATTCTGCCTATTATTCTCTACTGTTCCCCCTTAGTTTTTCCCGGGCTACTGAAGAAAGACTATAACATATTACGCAGGATGTTAAATGTTGTTAGCAGGGTAAGCAACGTGCCACTTAACCAGCTTGTTAATATTCTGGTCGACAGGCACATGGACTCATGTGAAAAATGGGCCAAATCCATTTTATCTAACTCACAACACTCTCTTCACTCACAACTCTTCTCTTGCATCTCATCAGGCAAAACCAGAAGTCTATATAGAAAACTATATGCTCGCACCAGCAAGTACAAAAACTCAACCATACCCTACTTAGCTCGTGTTCTGTGTGATAAAGAAAGCATTAGGCGTGATACCTATAACTTATTCAATAGTCAGTAGTACAACTGGATCTCGTCTTTCCATCTCATATCATTTATAGGTACAACATTTTCTTTTCCTTTTCTCTCTTTTTCCGTTATGTGCTGCTTTGTTTCTTTCTTCCGCTTACGCCATTAAATATGACAGCATCTACTTTTCTAACACCTTCAAACACTGTTCAACTTTGGCTTTGCTACCGACATGCCAATATGTTGTTGTCATAATGAACTGAGATTTGCTTAATCTGTGTAGAATTCTATTTATTGACAATGTACTAACTGGATGCAATACTGAAGTAAAAATGCTGAGAATTCCATTCTGTATCACATGTACTGTTTTGGAATAAAGCAAATTATTATTATTAAAGTTGTACAGTGGTTTAAAAGCAATCTGTTTCTGGATATTCCTTCCGAATAGTTATATTCCTCTGCATCCTCGGACTTTGAAACGTCATGCTTTGATTCTAATTGGCAATTAGTTACTGCATTTTAAATAAAAATGCTAGCATCAAGTGGTTTATCTGTATTCTTCTTTTCTGCTTCTTCAGACACTTGGCACACTATAAAATAATCGTGTTCTTAATCTTGCTTTGCTATTGACTTCAAGTTACATGACCAGACATCGTCGAAGCATCTGCACAAGGAGCCGACATGCCAGCTTGAGACCGACCACTTCGCTTCAATAAATCAACGGGAAAAATCTAAATTGAATTAGGTTCTTTACTGTTAACTTTTTCATATGCAGGTTCTTGTTTATCTATAAAAAGAATTCTATGTAACATTGTCATCCGAATTTTACCTTTATTACTTGCTACACTTTAATTGTACGGATAGTATACAATGAGACCGTCTGTCCCCAAGCGTTTTACTATATTATTATTATTCCCTCGACGAAATTCTAGGTTCAATAATCATGCATACACTAAATGGTGCTCGAGAGAAACAAAAACTAGGTGGAGGGTGTATTGATCATGTCTTCACCATTCAACAGATTCGGGAACAAGTGCATTTTTGTCGGCGTTCAACAATTGTCATATTTGTTGACCTGAAGGCTGCATTCGACTCTGTCGAACGAGAGATACTATGGTAATGTTTGGCTGTGAAGGGAGTATCGAGGAAGTACATCGCACTAATCAAGGCACTCTGCTCGAACTCACACAGCTGTGTAAGAGCTTACGAAGAGTTGTCATCTGAAGTGGTGTCCGTTAGGGATGCCCACTGTCCCCATTTCTGTTTAATTTTATCATAGATGTATTAATGCAAATAACCCTAACTGACTTCAGCGACTCAGGAATTGACGTGTTAGTAGGGAATAGTCTTGTCGACTTAGAATATGCGTATGATATAGTCCCTCTAGGCGAAGACGCTGACAAAATAGAGCAGAGTCTTCTGAATACCTTGAGGAGCAGCAATCTTCTAATGTTTGGCGTGCGAGTCGCTTCTGTCAGTAAAATGTAGGATGATGCTACAGGATTGGGCTACACTAACTCCTAGCTTAAACATAGGCAGGAGTGAAGTGGCTGAGCATGCTAACCACTTCACTTATTTGCAGAGTTGCATCAGCCAGTGCCAGCGGGTTGATCGCTGACGAAATCTCAGAACGGATACAGAAGTCTCGTGTGGCATCTGCCTACTTACGTTATTTCTGACGTAAACGTGGTTTCGGGCTGTCGACCAAAGGAATTGTGTACTGCATATCAGCGGTTCACTCTGTTCTCCTTTATGGCTGTGAGACATAGTCATTGAAAGTGGAAGATACGAAAAGGCTGGCTGTCTATGATCATAGGTGTCTGCGTTCTACCTCCCATGTTAGGTGGTACAGTAGGGTGAGTAATATTGGGGTTAGGAGGGAAAATCAATCAATGATTCTGTGAAGCTACATCTGTTGAGATGGCACGCCTAACCATCGCCTTTCTCGACGGATAAGATTAACTGACATAGGATTAGGCTGGAAAAGAACTAGTGGTATTCAAACGAAAACACGGCATGAAATCTTTAACAGTCAGTTCAAGTCACGTAGGTAGGTGCAGACTGCTTGGTTGGGGTCCTAGGGATGCTAATAGCCAGTGGCTAGAGACAGTTGGTGACATGACGCAGGTGCATTCACTCTTTGTCATTTGTCCTATCCAGTAAAGCCCTATTGTTTTTTCATGTTACTACTGTTTCTCCTTCACTTCAAATGAACTGTCGTCAAGATTTGACAGAATAGTTCTAAAATATTTGGGCGCCGAGTGAGAAGTAGACATTTGTAAAAAATTATATTTGTAATATCTCAGCGATATTGAAATGAGTAATTCCAACGTTTCGTTCGGCAATCTGGTCCGAACTTCCTCAGGGAAATTAATCAAAATTAACATAACAGAGGTTTTATATATAAAAGGCACATCTTTTGTTTTTAAAAACTTTGTCCAATCATTATTCATAAAACAAGTATAATAAACAAAATTGTATGAGCTGTGATCAAAATTTGACCTCGGACTTACAAATATTGGTCTACCTTTGTTAAACACTTTAAACAGAGTGTGCGTAAACAGTTGTAAAACATTTCTTAACGTCTCCATGGGAAGATACAGACAGTCAGGAATTTGACCAAGTATTAATAATTAGTGATACATATCCATTTTTATTTATTAATCAGGATTTCCTATGCATCAGCTAACATCAAACCTTCATGTCCGTTCAAACTGCTAGTATCTAGAATTTTATGATTAGACGTATTTTCAAAATTATGGTGTTTAGGATTAGAGTTTAGTTTAAGCACCCTGTCGAACTTATTGCATTGTCTTCTTTCTGAATATTGAGCTGCTTTATTCGACCTACTGGAGTTGTCAGGTGACCCGACAGCTGCGGATTTAGGATGTGCATTTTGTTCCCTGAAGAAGTTCGGACCAGATTGCCGAACGAAACGTTGGAATTACTCATTTCACTATCGCTGAGATATTACAAATATAATTTTTTTTACAAATGTTTCTCCTTCAGATTTCTGCTTATTATTGTTTTTTCCAAATTCTTTTTTGTTTTGTCTTTCTTTGTGTGCTACATGGAGTGTGTCAACTCGATCTGCTGCACTTCTGTGGAAAGTTCTATGTGTTGAAATCAGTCATTAATCCCCTGGGTTCCGACTGGAATATAGGCTTTCGACAGCACAACTTCATTTCATCCTGTTGTATGCTGCCCCTTTTTGACTGATTCCACGATTGCTCATCAGCTTTCATCTCCTCACACGATCTCCTCCATGTCACCCTTGGACGTCCCACTAGCCGCTTCCTTTTCGGGTTTATTTATTTATCAGATACTGAATGTGGTCACTAATCTGAGTGCCACAACGCTGTTAGGCATAGCAGTTATTTATTAGGCCCAAGTGTAATCAATTGGTATTAAGCCCTAGACTTAGACTTAGCTTCTTTTTAGCAGTGATTCATATTTCTCCCGAAAATCGAATCTGCGTTACCAAGAACTGGTAATATGAATCCCTTAGATGTGAAATCAGTTGCATATTGTTATTATATAAGATGAAGTCGGCAGGATACCTTGGACCTGGCTTTCATGTTTATTGCCAATAATCTGTGAGGCGTATCTACAACCTCGATGAAGCTGACCTCCTTGAATGTCATCCAACTGACCAATCAATATAAAAATATTACTTAGAATGAACAAGTATCAGGAAAGACCAAACGTTTCGATGGAGCAAAACTCACCAATTTGGGATAGCCATTCAATCCTAGTCGGTGACTCTTCATCAGTTCGCATCTATGACCTCACTGGAATTGGAGCAAACTACCTTCCTGCTATGGGGCGACTCCGCGAACCATAAAACTACTGCGTCGGTGAGTCAGTGGTAAAAGGCTTGCCAACCATGTATGCAGTTCGGGTCTGATGTGCTCCTAAACCTCGCCTTTTTCTGAAAAAAGGATAGTAAGGTTGGGAAAGAGACAAGGTTGGATTTGAGGTTAGGAACCCTGCCCAGTAACATCAACACTGTCGCTATTGAAAATTCAAAATAGTTAGCCTCAAGGTATTGTCAAAACGTCCGTACCAGAAACTGTCGGGCTCAGGGAGACTGAACATTCTAATCGATTCAGATCAGTCAACAAGAAAATCATGAAGTAGTTTCGGTAAATGAAAACATGAATCTCGTTGTTTCAGATAATAAAGTAAATTGGCACTTTCAAGTGGAATTTGTTTGTAAAATATACACTACTGACAAAATAAGTAGTAGTTAGAATGATAACGAACAAATAATTTCTGCTTTCAATATACATTGTAACATGTTAATTTTCTTTTCAGTAAACCCATTGTATCCACTATAGCTTCATTGCATTTTTCCTGTTCTTGATTATATTTGTGAAATCCAATTAACAGCATGAATTTCAAATTTCCTTTAGTATCTACATCTTCTTCATTGTATCGTTTTAATCGTGTCGCTGTGAAAGTACTTGGATCCATTTTATTTATTCCACTTTGTTCAGTGGCCATTAATGCTTCATTGAAATCAGTATAGAGAACTTTATACCTTGATTACACGAAGAAGAAAACAAAAGGCTTAGTTATCTTTTATTCAAATGAATATTGGATTTATATGTCTTTCATTAAATATACTTTTATGTTGATGTCAAGGGTTAACTGACTTCATGTGGTAGAGGCAGTGACTGAGAAGGCAACTATATTTTTTATTTATTTTATTTTGATTTACAGCTTGATTCCACACCGTATTTTCAGTACAAGTATGGAATTTTCAGCATGGATATCGGTTGCCCAAATTCAGGCATACCATAGATATCGGGTGTGCGCCGGCAGGGGATCGAACCTCGGACCATGTGCATGGTCGGCGAGAGTCCTAACCGCTGTGCCACCTATATATTCATTTACCAGTTTAAGTGTCATATTTAACGGATGAGGAGTAGGGCCAAGTTAAACTTTAAGCACCACTAACTACCAATGGAGTGCGACCGCACCAATGACCTTGAAACGCTCACTGAGCAAGTTAGTGAAACCTGGCAAATAATGCTGCCATCATCAATAAAATATGCTCATCGAAGTGTTATGCTATTAAATGGGATATCTGGCAAGTTTCAGCTTAGATTAGGGAAAGATTAAGTTACGCTTTAAGCCAAGGACAAGTTAGCGTTAGGTCAACCTAATAAAGGCGACATTAGGGTTGGTTCGAGTTAGATTACAGTTAGTTTAGGGATATTTTCACGTTAGGGTTAGGTTCAGGAAAGATTAGGGTTATTGTTAGGGTTAGAAGACCTAAATAACTACATGCATAGAATGTGGTTAAATTACTCTGTTGATATAAGAATAGAACTTGTGCACTGTGGTAGAGTATAATTCCATTGTGGGTAAAATTTATTTTGATAAAGTCTCACGGTGTTATACAGTAATATTTACTGATGACAACGTTTCGAGCACAATTTATTGCTCAGTAAATATTACTGTATAACACTATGAGACTTAATCAAAATAAATTTTACCCACAATGGAATTATACTCTGTTGATACTCCAACCTAAAACTGAGAGCTACTTTTATCACATGTGAGAGGAAGGTATCCTCTGTAACACATTTTTTCATAAATATATGCATTCCATACAAAAAATGCCTCCTTCACATGGTTGGTGCATTCAAGGTCATTCTCTGATTGGTAGTTAGTGGTGCTTAAAGCTTAACCTTGCCACGAATACCTATTGTTTATGAATAAAACAAGGCTGTTATTAAGTGGTTATTTCCTCTTTCTTGATATCATTAATTTTAATATTGTTATTATTAAATCCGTTGGTTTCCAAGTGACTCATAAGGGGTCAGTGTTGGTGAACATTGAATGCGCAACCTACGGTTTGTTGATTCGAATCTGTCTCCGTTTAGCGGGAAACAGTAATGTTAAGCGTTGCTTAATCGCACGCTGCTTGGCAGAAGACTGAAGAAAAACGGTCATAAGTATCTTTGTGACTTTTTTCAACGTTCATTCATAGACTTTGTTTATTGTAACCTTGTTGTTTTGCTTCATTGTCGGGGAAGAAATAAACAATCCTCTCACTGCCAGTCTGTTTTCTAATGTTCTCACAGCGGTCACCGCAAATAGTATTCTGAGGCATTGATTAATCTTCTGGAATCAGCGATAGGTTCAGGGTCTTTTCCGATCTGGACATTTGTCATAGGAATTCAGCAATAAATCTCGATTTCATCCTGATCTCTGCAATCCTTTTCAGCTGCCTATTAGGCTTCATTTTCTCTCCACACGATCCCGTTCATGTCACCTTCAGACCAATACCTAACTCGCTGATTCTCATTTCGGTTCTACTAGAGAGTTTGGCACCTGATATCATTATTACTAGTGTCTCTTCCTAGACAAACCTAAAATTATACTATTATTTAAATGAATTAACTAATGTTGAACAAAGCGTCGGTGGCACAGCAGTAGAATGCTCGCCAACCACACAGGTAGTCCGGGGTTCGATCCCCGGCCGGCGCACTTCTTTACCTCGCTTAGCCAGTAATAAGACTTGTAAAGGAGGAAGGTTGGGCATGAGGCTAGCAACCCCATTGAAAATAAGAACCACTGCTAACAAAACTTTAAATCTCTCTAGCTTGAAGCTCTATGTCCCACTGGGAACGTAAAGGAATAAAACAAATGTTGAACAAACATCAAATTCTAAGTGAATAGAAAATCTCACTAACTCATATAACAATAAATAATTACTGGAGAGATTATCTGGTTATGTTGAATAATTCTTTTTGGATATTTTAAAGTTTTCATTGTTTCCACAACTTTCTCATAAAACGAAATGCATTGTGAGATTTTAAAAACAGATTTCACCTGAGTTCTAGCAAATGAAACATTAAATCAATTAGTATACCAAACAACCTATCTGTCGTTGTCTATCTGCCCAGTCCGAGAACCTAATTAGTCAGACAGACGATCTAGTTACTATCTGTCGTTATTAAATGTGTCTTGCATATGCCTTACTTGCTTACTTCAGTGGAACTCAAATGGGACGCGACAAGTTTGGCGTTGGCCTGACAATGATGTGGAACAGATCATATGAGAAGGAGGGAATGACAACTTGTGGGCAGTTGTGAAGCCAGTAGAAAGTAATGACAAAGAACCGAGAAATTGGAATGTCGTTGAGCCCTGCGTTCCACTTGGAAAGCATAGAATCAGTACTTATAATGATAATAATAACAGCAAATATTCGTACAACTTCAGAATACATTTCACTTATTAATGAATTCAAGGCAGGAAGACTTCAATAACCTTAGTGATTATGAAACATCCATTATCAAAATCAGAGGTCAAACGATAATATACAATTTTTAAACTATAATTTGTTTTAAATCAGTTAGAGGAAGAATTTATGATTCTCGAAAAGATGTTGAAAAACAACGGTTATCCTCAGAGATTCATTAAAAAGTACAGAAGATGTGAAGGCTAAAATGTTAAACAAATCATGTTAGGGAAAAAAGCCTGTCTTCATTCAACTCGATTTTAAGGGTGATAATATTCAGGAATATCAACAGAAAGTGAATGCGTCACTAGCTACAGCCTGTCCTGCAGCTAAGTTGGTTCCCATTTATCGGGCAACATGCTCTTTGGTGCAATCAAAAGTCGACAGATACCCTTCTCATTTTTAACTCTAACTGTGTGTACATATTTACATGTATATTTGGGAGCAGTAACTCTAGGGGAACAGAAAGAAAGGCACACCTGAGATTTGCCGAACACGTACGGAAAAGCCTATGTCTGAAGGAGACAAGCGCTTTCAATAGTGTCATTGTCAGGCATCTCATCAATAAGGGTCATGAGGTGGGCATCGAAAAACCTTTAAAATTACCAGTACACAAAATAGCTGAAGTTTACCGAAGCAATCTCTATCAAACGCCTGAAACCCGATTTATGTGTTCAAAAAGAAGTCATTATCAGTGGTTCCTTGCCCTGGTAACTGGATATCTTTTTCCTCTATTTGATTTTATTACGTAATCCTTGGTTTTAACTCCACCCCGCAGGATGTAGCGTGACTCTTCTTGCCACTTCTGTCTATGGTTTGAGTTGGACTCACCACATTGTTAGTGAACTTATTAGTTACTCATCACCTTACTCGCCTCTTGGGTCTATTACGTAATTCTTTTACCGTTGTATGCATACACTGATTTCTGTTTAAACTTGAACCGCCTGGGTGGAAACTATATAAAAGCGTAATTTTCTGAACGCTTCTCACCATGTTCGGAACTTCCTTTCAGCCGACATCATATGAAATTTGCATGTTAAAATTATTCTGTACATAAACTTAATAATTTGTTCAGGCTGTATGCAGCTGATGGAAAGCCAACGAAATAAATCATGGTACCATCTTATTCTGCACAAACTGTTGTTTTTACTATATTTAAATTAAATTCCTAATTTTCAAATTAATTCGCCACTTGCAATTTATCACATCGATCTAGGTCAAATTTCACCACAGTTTCTTTTGAAGACAGAAACTGTTTAGATTAACTACACATTTCAGCCAATGAGTACATCTCTGATTGCCATTTTCAAGAATTAGTTTGTAGGGATTCTATTTGTTTACGGTTAGACCATAGAGTGATATCGATTAGAGAACCATTGAAAACCAGGGAGTACTGGACACCTGTTTCGTCAGCCTAGTTTGGGACTCATCGGCAGTACGCACCCACCACTGGAGTTCGAACCCAAGGCCTTCCGGTTACAAGGCAAGCTCGTATATCATCCAGCCACTGGGACCCGATTCAGTGGCCAGCCCATGAATTCTAACTTCTACCAACTCATGAGAATTAATGTGATGCTCGCTAGTGACTGGCTGCAGGACGAAGTTGAATGGAGGAGTTCTAGTAAGGAGTGGTTTCCATCCGGTCGGGAGTGAGGACAAATACTTGTCAGCGATGACACTGACCGGTGCCCGTCACGCCAAAACCACGAATTGGTAGGAATGAGAATTCATGGACTGGCAGTTGTGTAAGGTCCCATCGGCTGGATGGTATACGAGCTTTCCTTGTAACCGAAAGGTCCTGGGTTCGAACCCTGGAAGTGGGTGCGTACTGCTGATGAGTCCTAAACTGGGCTGACTAAACAAGTGTCCAGTACTCCCAGGTTTTCCACTAGTTCTCCAACTGATTGGCACTTATTGTACCAAGGCGATAATATGTTGTCATCTGAATAATTTCGATTTCCAAGAGAAACAGTGATAAAACTTCACCTCCACGAACTGTGTAAATTGAGAATTTCATTTATGGTGTTACCAATTCACCCAAGTAGCTAGCCAGAAATAAGTTGGTTTGAACTGATTCAGATCTCTAATTAGAGTCAAATTGGGCACACCGCTAAGGACCACAGTCTCAAACCATGGAAACCGCCTTTCAACGTTCAAATCACTTCGATCTGGCTGGAGAGCAAGTACCAGTGATTAGTGAGAATGGTGACCAACTACTCATGTCAATCAATTAGTAGTATATAGCATATGTATGTAATATTTGAAAATATTTCGCCTATTTTTACAAC